TATGAATCAGGCTGCTAACCTCATGGTCAACAGTTCGAAACTACCAGTGGTTCTGTGGGAGAAAGATAAAGCTTTCTGTTCCCGTAAAGATTTACAGCCTCAGAAACCCTGTACAGGGTCGCTATGAGTCGGAACCGACTCCACGGTAGTTAACAACAACAACAACAACGACAAAGATTGTTGTTATGTTGTTAAATGCTGTCAGGTCGATTCCAACTCATAGCAGCCCTGTGTGGGGATTCTGAGGAGCCACTGGTGAATTTGAACTTCCGACCTTGTGGTTCACACTGACCTTGCAGTCCTGCGCTTACCCTACAGTGTTGTAAACTGTATAACGGCCCTTGGGAATGGGTTTTCTTTGCTATATTAGTGAGGCGGTGTTAGAATTGTTAAGTGCCATCGAGTTGGTTCCGGCTCATGTATAGGGCTTCCGAGGCTGTAAAGCCTTAAGCAAGCAGAAAGCCTCAACTTTCTTCCGTGGAACGGCTGGTGGATTCTAACTGCTCACCTTGCAGTTAGCAGCCCAACATGTAATCCACTGCATTACCAGGGCTCCTTCCCAAAGCACCTTGCTGTTGTTGTTGTTGTTAAGTGCCACTGAGTCAGTTCCAACATATAGGATTTCTGAGACATGGCTGCTGAGTTTGAATCACCGACCTTGCAGGTCAGTGCTGATCCTACAGGACCACACCAGTTAGTTAAGTGCTGTCGAGTTGGTTCCAACTCATAGTGACCCTGTATAGGGTTTCCAAGGAGCGGCTGGTGGGTTTGAACCACCAACCTTGTGATAAGCAGTCCAGAGCTGATCCAATAGTACCATTATTAGAGTAGGATGTGTCTTAAGTTAAACTCTTCAGAGATAGGAGGAAGGCAGATGGCAAGCCACACAAAGACCCCCTAAGGAATCAGGAGTAGTACTGGAAAGAAAGAAGGGCCTTCCCCCCCGAGAATGGACAAAGAGAGAGAGACTTCCCCCAGAGCCGTCACGCTAAATTCACACTTCGAACCCCCTAAACTGGGAGAGGATACATTTCTGGTTGTTAACATCACCCAATTGTGGTCTTGCTGTATAGTAGTAGTATATGAGAAAGCTGAGACAGCCAGGGGCCAGAGGCACAAGGTGGGGCAGGTTCTCCCCGATGTTGGGAAGATTTCCCCCAAACTCAAGAAGTCTCTAGGATGAGATGCAAAGCTACCTTTGAGTTAAAATGAGATGACGTTATCAATGTGACATGGGCAGCTCTCTGGAAAGCTGGAGCAGTGGGCTCAGTGGACAGGCAGGGAGACATTCAGAGCCCAGAAGAAGTCTGGGTAGGACATCACATGGACACACACAACTGCCACCGGTACCTCTCTTGGCTCTGCACCTGTGCTCCCTGGGAAATGGCTATGCCACCAAAGTGGAATCTCCCTTCTTCTTGATATCACGAGCTTGACATCAAAGTCCAAGATGCCTGAGTCTGACTGACCACGGCCTAGCTAGCCACAGGCTTGCACGATAGCTCTGATGGGCCCCAAGAGTGAACCTTTTCTTGCAGAAGCGGATTCCCACACACAGCAAAGACAGCCTGCAGATCCTGGGCAGCCGACCCAGGCCAGTGTCCCCTACAGAAATGGATCACAGACGCAGCAGGCTGCACACCTGCCACCAAGGAGCATTTTGAGTTTGTGGGAAGTTGTGTCACAAAGTAGAAAGAAGTTCCAAAATCTCCATCCAAGGACTGACTCTGCCATTCTTTATGCGGTGCTGTAGGTCAGTGGTTCAAACTCACCTTGCTCCTTGGAAACCCCTAAACAGGATCGCTGTGAGTCAGAACTGACTCCACAGCACTTTAACAGCAACAACAATGCACTTTTGGAACATAGTGGGTTGCACGTTGGTTTGCTAGCAGCAAGGTCAGCAGTTCAAATCCACAAGCTGCTCTAGAGAAGAAAGACGAGGCCTTCAGCTTCCATAAAGATTTGAAGCCTCAGAAAACATAGCCATAAATCGGAACTGACTCGATGACACACCAGCATCGCCACCACCATGCGCTGTGGGCAGTAAGCTTCGTGGGCTTTTGTCATGCACTGAAGAGGAATACGTGTGTCATTTGTGTCCACTTTGCAGAGCTGCCGTGTATATCTAATTAGATTATTTTGTGGACAGACTTTGAAAATTCTATTATTACTGAACAAATCTGTTTGTCTCTCTGATTTCCAAGTGATTCATCTTTAGAATGAGAAGGATATTCCCTACATTGTAGGGTTACCAAGGAAGGAAACTAGAATATAATAAATGATTTCTTAACAGATTAAAAATCTTTGATGCCTGGGATTTGCTTCAAAACACTGGTGGGAGAAAGTAGGAGAAAGAGAAAGCAGAGGATGATGTAATAAAGAGCTTATTATATCATTCTCTACAGTAGTGGGAAAGGAAATTTCCCAGAGTACACTTTAAAACAAACACAACAAAAAAAACAAGTCTTGGAAATTTTAGAAGGAACAGGCCACATTCCTTTCAGTTTGTTGTTGGAGGTTTCCATTGAGTTTTCTCAGACGCCAAAACGTTTCCTCCTGGTACACCACCCGTGTTCCATGAGGAACTACATCTTCAATGGTTAAATGATGGTTTTAAACAAAAGTAAAAGTCCAAAGAACGAATCAACACTAACAAAAGTAAGACCCAAACAAACACGTGTTGCTGGGTGTCAGAGAGTGAACGGACCTTTCCAGTGATGCCCTAGGGTTTTCTAGGCTATCAACTTTATGCAAGAAGATTGCCAGGTCTTTCTGCAGCAGAGCAGGGCTGGTTAGGCTGTAACTACAAAACTTTAGGTCAGCCGCTCAATGCTCAGCTGTTGCACCATCAGAGTGACACCAGACGACCCAATCCACTACCCCTGAGTCGATTCCAAGTTGTAACGACCCTAGAGGACAGGGTACAATTGCTCCTTTGGGTTTGGGGGGGCAGATGGCCTCATCTTTCTCCCACAGAACGGTTGATGTTGTGGTTAGCAGCCCACTGCAGAAGCCACTACGCCACCAGAGCTGCTTCAGAGCTCCGCTAGCATAACCCCCAAACGCCACCACTGTCCAGTGAGTTCTAATCATGGAGACCCAACAGGGACAGAGCAGAACTGCCCCATGGGGACTCGAAGGCTGTAGCCTTTACGGAAGCCAACTGCACATCTCTCTCCGGTAGAGAAACCGGTCGGTCCAAACCATTGATCTTTTGGTTAGCAGCCCAATGCTTACCCACTTGTTGTTGTTAAGTGCTTTCAAGTAGGTTCTGACCCATAGTGACCCTGTATAGGGTTTCCAAGGAGTGGCTGGTGAGGTTGAACCACCAACCTTGTGATTCAGATGGACCTTGCAGTCCAGCGCATTTACCCACAGCACCACACCAGGACTTCCTGTTGTTGTTGTTGTTGTTAGGTGTCATCGAGTCGGTACCGACCCATAATGACCTTATGCACAGCAGAACGAAACACTGCCCGGTCCTAGGACAACCTCACAATTGTTGCCACGCTTGAGTCCATCGATGCTGCCACTTGGCCAATCCATCTCGCTGGGGTTCTTCCTCTTTTTCTCTGACCCTCCACCTATCAAACATGATCTCCTTCTCCAGTGACTGGTTCCTCTTGACATGTCGGAAGTATGAGAGACGAAGCCTGGCCATCCTGGCCTCCAAGGAGCACTCTGGCTGCACTTCTTCCCAGGACTCCTAAAAGCATGTGGATCCCTTCAATGGTCAGCCTGTGCTTATGATTCAATCAGGTTCAGAGCAACCATAAATTAACTTTTTCTCCAATATACAAAAATCCACCTGGCGTAGTCCATTTCCAAAACTGCATTCAGCTCAGACCTTAGTCATGAACACGCCCCATGTCAGGCTGCCTCCCAAAAAGCAAGAGAGGTAGGGAGTAGTGTGCACAGAGTTCGAGTCCTACAACAGCCTGCAGTTTAGCAGCAAAGGGTCGTCACTGTGAGTCCCCAAAATGGGATTGCAGAAGAGGCTTCCTGCAGACCCACCACTTGGGAGCCTTTGTTGTTTGTGGGAAGTTGTGTGTCAGAGTAGGAAGGTAGTTCCAAAAGCTCGGGTTAATTAGGATAATTAACTCCTCTGGACTCTTGATGGTGCAGGGGGGCTAAGCATTGGGCTGCTAAATACAATGTTGGTAGTTCAAATCCACCAGACCCTCCTGGGAAAAAATGAGACTGTCCGTTCCCATGAAGCGTTACAGTCTCAGAAACGCTATAGAGTTGTTATGTGTTGGCATTGACTCCTTGGCGGTGGAAATTTTGGAGAGCAGTCCTAGTGGCGTAATGGGTTAAGCGTTGGGCTGCTAACCCAAGGAATGTTGGTTCAACCCCCCGAGTCATCCATTGGAGAAAGATGAAGCAGACACCTTTATTAGAGCTTTAACGTCTCAGAAGCCTTATAGGGCAGGTCTACTCTGTTTTATAGGGTCACTATATAAAGAGGGACCAGTCGCTGGAGGAGGATATCATGCTTGGTAAGGTGGCGGGTCAGAGAAAAAGAGGAAGACCCCCAACGAGATGCATTGGCCAAGTGGCAGCATTGATGGACTCAAGCGTGGCTGCAATAGTGGGGTTGGCCCAGGATCGGGCAGCGTTTCGTTCTGCTGTGCATAAGGTCACTATGAGTCAGTACCGCCTCGATAGCAAATAACAACAACAACAATGTAATAATCCACTCAGCGGGTTTGGATGCTTGCCCTGGTCCCCAATTCAGGGAAGGCTCCACTTTTTTCAGGAACTTCAGACCACGGTAAGGCTTTGGCTGGCCAGTGTGCAGTCATTCTAAGTGACCTAACTACTTAACAAATGTCATGAAGATTACCAAAGCTTGGCTGTTCCCAAGCGGGCGCTCAGCCCAAAGCAAACATGGCACCCAGCGGGGCGGAAGTGGGCCTGCCCCCAACCAAGATGGCGGCGGGGCGGGGCGTGGAGGCCGGCGGGCGGAAGTGGCTGTCCCAGCGGCTGACGGCTTCACCATGGCGGCCACTGCCGCCTCCTCGGCTTTCAAGCGGCTGGACCTGCGCGACCCCGCGGCGCTCTTCGAGACGCACGGAGCGGAGGAGATCCGCGGCCTGGAGCGCCAGGTTCGGGCCGAGATCGAGCACAAGAAGGAGGAGCTGCGGCAGATGGTGGGCGAGAGGTACCGCGACCTGATCGAGGCGGCCGACACCATCGGCCAGATGCGCCACTCCGCCGAGGGGCTGGTGGGCGCCGTGCGGGCCACCGACCAGTACTGCGCCCGCCTCCGCCAGGCCGAGCCGGCCGGGACCCGGCCGCCGCAGGCCCCGGAGGTCAGTCCCGCCCCACCTGTGCCCTCCCCTGCCCGCGGGAGGAGCCCCGGCCGCCTTTCCCGGGGTCAGCCCGCACTTCCTTTGGGGGCTTCCCCCGATTTCCTAGTGTCCCAACTCGGGAAAGCGCCAGGGGGGCTCTCTTCCCAGTCACTGCCACCCCACTGCCGCCACGTCAACTCGGAGCACTCCTGTAGCTCAGGGGAGAACTGCCCCATGGGGCTTTGCAAGGCTGTAGTCTTTACAGAAACCTACTGCCAGAGCGGGTGGTGGGCTCGAACCGCTGACCTTCCGGTTAGTCAGAGCTTAACTCATAGCCACTATGTATAGGGTTTCCGAGCAGCAGCTAATGGGTTTGAACTGCCGACCTTGTGGTTCACAGTCCAGTGCTGATCCTACAGCACCACGTGGAGTTCTAAATATACTGGATATGGGATGACAGGGAAATATGCAAGGGCCTGTGTTCAACAGCAGCAGAAGAGACTGGAGTAGGCCTCGGGAATGGTGAAGATGGGGTCCTGGCTTAGCGAGTGTGTTTGAGGATAGACTGAGAGGAGAAGGAGCCTGAGGACTGAACCAAGGAAGATGTGGTGGTTGTGGCGGCAGCGGTGGTGGCAGTTGGGGTGGAGGTGTGAGAGTGATGAAGAGAAGCAGCCATCAAAGAAGTCCAAGCCGGAGAACATTAGGAAGGCGGAACAGGAGAGCAGGAAGGAGAAAGCCCTGTGGGGGTTACTGGTCAGCAGCGCCCCATGTTCTCAATATATCCAGAGGATCGCTGGTCACCAGCCTGTGGGATGACCATACTAAGGGTAGGAAGCCCAGTGGATTTTACAGCATCTCCACCTGTAGGAATTGAACGACATCCAATTTCTCTTCCCCACTGGGTGATACTGAATCAGACTTACTGAAAGCTTGGTACCCCAAAATGCCCCACATTTCTCGTCCACTGAGGATGCTGACACGCTTTGTTTGGCCTCCTCACTTGGTTCTGTGCCCTTCCATGCAGCCATCCCGAGAGAAATTCTACAGCATGGCCGCCCAGATCAAGCTGCTCCTGGAAACCCCTGAGAAGATGTGGAGTGCGCTGGAGGCCTCCCACTACCTCCACGCCACCCAGCTCTACCTGCTCTGCTGCCACCTTCACAGACTGCTCCACCTGGACACGTCCACTTCTCCTCACAGCCCTGTCCTCTCCCGATTCCCTATACTCATCCGGCAGGTGACTGCAGCCAGCCACTTCCGGTAAGTTGCATCTGGCTGAGAGACTTCGCGTTCCTGTCACCGTGTTCCACTATGAGTTTGGGTGGGAGTGTCTTCTAACCTGGTGGGCTCCCAAGGTGGGAAAAGCTTGCTGCTGACCAGTGCCACGCCTTCTCCAGGTCCACCATCCTGCATGAAAGCAAGACGTTGCTTCAGAGCCAGGCTGTGTCAGACCAGGCTGTGGCCGAGGCGCTGTGCTCCATAATGCTCCTGGAGGAAAGCTCCCCTCGCCAGGCCCTCACAGACTTCCTGCTGGCCAGAAAGGCCGCCATCCAAAAGCTTCTCCAGCAGCCACAGCAGGGTGCGTGTGCCCTCTCCCCCGGGGCCAGGGAAGGGGAAGCGTCCAGGGCGCCTTCATTCTGTCTGTCACGTCACCACAGGCCACGGCTTAAAGGAGGTGACTTCTGCTCGTAGGTGTCAGCACCAAGACCCAGGTCTGCATGTTAGTGGAGCTGCTGACTGCCACGCTGAGCCAGGCTCACACCCTTTTCTACACTTTGCCTGAAGGGCAGCTGCCAGACCCGTCCCTGCCATGTGGCCTGCTCTTCTCCACTCTGGAGACTGTCACAGGGCAGCACCCTGCCGGTGAGCTCCTAGCCAAGCGTTGGTTTTCCTGGTTCAGTCACGACTGCCTCATGCCACTGGACACACACAGTCTGGGGGTGGGGTGGGGGTGGGGTAGGGTGCCTTTTCTGACTCTGACCCCACGTGAGTGTCCTCGGGTGCTATCTTGATGGAAACAGGTTGCCAGAGCGTTTTGGTTACCAGCTGAGCATTTAACTCCAGGTACTGAGCTCATGACTATGCAGATGTTTAACGTTAGTACTGATCATTGCTATGAAGGCCAAGAATGAGTAGGCGGGGAGAAGTAAGTAAACGGGGCCCTCGCCAGGGAGGTGATAACTTCAGCTGACCCCCGAAGGTTGAGCGGGCGTTAATCGGCCAAGGGCCCAAGTCAGAGGCTGTCAGTCATGGGAGCTGGGTTGCGGGAGGGAAGGGTAGCCGAGGACATGGAGAAGACATGGCCAGCTGAGTAGAGGCCCCAGGAGTGGACTATGGAGGTAGGACCCCATCCTGAACTGGGGAGCCCTATAGGCTTAGTGCAGTCCCTCGGGTAAATGAGGGAGCTTCCAACAACCTTGTGGGGAAATCCCATGGTCTTTTCATGCCGTTTCTCAAAGCCCTCTGGAGTGTGCCCATCTAACCCTAACCCCATATATTATATGGGAGCACTGATCCTAGTTGGAATCACATAAACTGAACTGACTTTTTCTGGGACAGGGGGTCCTGGTGGGGCTCCCACAGGAGAACCATCACCATTATGCAGGTGAGTTCACTGGGACTTCTCCCTAGGAAAAGGCCTCGGGGTTCTACAGGAAGGGATGAAGCTCTGCAGCTGGTTCAAACACTTGCCAGCGTCCGTTGTCGAGTTCCAGCCAGTGCTTCGAACCCTGGCACATCCCATCAGCCAGGAATACCTGAAGGACACGCTGCAGAAATGGATCCACATGTAAGTGGCCAGCACTAGCCCTGCAGGGCGAGCGAGGGGAGGAAGGATGATAGTCCATGTGCTCCCCGACTCTGCCCACCAGCCATTCAACTGCAGCTCTGAAGTTTTCATTGAGTGCATGGTTTTGTAAAGCCATCCCACAGGGCTCTTGAGTTCCTTGTGGGTGTTCCAGGGAAGCAGGGTCAGCCTGGTGAGAGGGCTACAGACCCCACACTCCATCCAAACCCAAGGAGCTCTGTAGTGGGGTGTTCTGGCTATCGGCACCCAGGTATGGGGTTGTCAAGTTAGGCCCTGTTGTTTTCCTTAATGGAAGTGTGACATCCCCAAATCTAAGGGAGCCTGGGGTACCTGGTCTTGTTGCAGTTGTAGTGAAGACATTAGAAACGGGCTCACCGGTCTGCTGATGTTCGTGAAGAACATGAAAGGCCTTGCGGGAGCCCGGGATGCCATCTGGGAGCTGCTCACCAGCGAGTCCACCAATCACAGCTGGGACGTGATCTGCCAGCGGCTTCTGGAGAGGCGGCTGCTGCTATGGGAGGACCTGATGCAACGGCTCTTCCTGGACCGACTGCAAGTGAGCAGGGCCCTTCTTAGTGCAGGCTGCCTTGCTACCTTACCCCAGGGGGATCCTCTGGGTAAAGGAGCCATTGAAATGACTAGAAATCTGGCTCTAGGCTGAAGAAAGAGCAGGACTCCATCCATTGGCAGGCATGTGCCCACATCCGACAGTAACGGCGTCTTTGTTCTCTGCCAGTACCCATGCCCGCTTTCCAAGCACAAAGAACACTCTGCATGCTCGGAAACACTGCTGCTGTAATTCTTATCTTAGTTTCCGTTAGGGAATTGTGATCAGAACTCTCTCATTCTCTTCCAGACTCTGATGCAGGAAGGCTTTGGGGCTATCTCCAGTAGCTCCCAGGAGCTCCTGATACCAGCCTTGCAGGAGCTCGCCTCCAATGCCCACAACTCCACTGCAAGCAAGCACGTCCAGTTTGAGCACAACATGTCTCTGTTTCTCTGGACAGAGAGTCCGAATGACCTGCCCCCTGATGCCGCCTGGGTCAACGTGGCCAACCGAACTCAGTTTTCCAGCAGTGGGCTTGCTATGAAAGCTCACGCCATTAGCCCCTGTGTACAGAGCTTCTGTTCTGCCTTCGACGCCAAACTCAAGGTTCAGCTGGACGACCTCCAGGCTTACCTCCCCGCTGAGGACCCGTCACGGCTGTCCAAGGACATGTCCCCCCAGAGCTCTGCCTTTGACCGGTATGCAGATGCTGCGACTGTGCAGGAGATGCTCCGGACACACGCCGTAGCCTGCGTCGAGCACGTCATGGACTGCATCCGCGCCCAACTGCAGAGCACCCAGGAAGCCATGCGCGGGCAGGGGGAGGTCCTCTTCATGGCCCGGCTCTGCCAGTCCCTGGGCGAACTGTGTCCCTACCTGAAGCAGTGCATCCTGGGGAGATCGGGGAGTTTGGAGAAACCAGCCCGGGAGTCGAGAGCCCTGAAGAAACACGGGAAGGGTAAAGGTCAGGACCTCAGGCCACTGCAGAACAAGTGGCAGGAAGTGCAGAGCCGCCTGCTCCAGCAGAGCGTGATGGCATACCGCGTGTGGAGCTCGGCGGTTGTGGAAGTGAGTGGCTGATACAGCAGGCGACACACAACCCTCCCTGTCGTCCCCACCGTAGCCAGAGCAGGGCCGGCTCCCCACATTGTGCCTCCTCCCCATTCTTGCCCTGCTCACCTGGGGTCCCCTCACTTCATCTTGAGCTCATCATGTGGCGACTTAAGCTACATCCTTTAGTGGAAAGACAATGCCAGTTCCTATTCCCACTGGTTACTTCCACTCTTAGACCGCAGAAAATGAGTATCTTTGTATCGGCCTACACTCCACAGTCTGTATTTTGATGACGTGGAGATTCTCTTTATGTGACAAATGTCTCTGAGTGTCCTCTTCCCTAGGTCAACCTTGTAGGTTCTGGTAGTCTCTTACAAGATGGGAGCAAGGATGCCCTTCACGAATCCCTGGTCCCAGTAATTGGGCAAAAGCAGATATTTGCCTCTCACCACCCCACCCATGCCTATGTCCACTCTAAACATCCTCAACAGAGGCCCTCCGTTGGCTGTCACTGCCTGCCTTTGATACCCAGGTTCTGGTCTGTGGATTCACCCAATCATTACTGCTTGATGAGGCCGGCTTGATCCTGGCCACGGCCACCAGCTGGGATGAGCGAGAGGTCCAGGAGGAGACCGAGTCAGGCAGCAGTGTCACATCCAAGATCCGACTGCCCGCTCAGGTAACAGGGTCCCTGGGCCAGAGACTACAGGCTGGAAAAGAAGGGTGTCCTGTGGGGAGGGAGAAGGCTTGAGACAGCATATCCCAGCGAGCACTGAGGAATGGCAGGTCGACTTGGTCACTTTCTACTTCGGTGCAGGGTGGATGGCCAGCGGCCAAATCCATAGCAAAGCGTTGTCGAGAGGGCATCCGTGAGGGGCTCAGTTACAGAAGTGTTGTTGAGTGCCTGTGATTGGTTCCCACTCATAGCGACCCTGTATAGGGTTTCCAAGGAGCGACTGGTGCATCTGAACCGCCAACCTTGTGGTTCTGCTGACCTTGCAGTCCTGCGCTTATCCTATAGTGAGTGCCACACCAGGAGTCCATTATAGAACTACCTGCCCTGACACAGGAACCCTGGTGGGTCGCTCACTGAGACCTCCAGTCCACCAAAGGCACCTCCGGGGAAAGACATAGCAGTCGGCTTCTGTAAAGATGACAGTCTGCAGCACCCTGTTCTGTCCTGTTCAATAGGGTTGCTGGGAGTCGGAACGGAAGTTTGGTTTTAGTTAGCCTGAAATAAACACAGGGGAGAGCCTAGCTTACGGAGTTGGTCCCTCTCAGGCTAAGGAGGGAAAGACAGCCGACTTCGCTTCACAGAGGAATGTTTGTCTGAACTGGTTTACCTGTCTGGACATCTGCTCTGAGGCGTCAGATGCCAGGGTAGAAGCCTTACGAGGTTCAGTGGATCCACTTTGAACACATCTGGTGTGACTGGGGCCAATTGGCAACCTGACTTTGCTTTGTTCTTTCAGCCGTCCTGGTATGTGCAGTCCTTCTTGTTTAGCTTATGCCAGGAGATCAATCGGGTCGGAGGCCATACCCTCCCAAAGGTGACGTTGCAGGAGATGCTGAAAAGCTGTCTGGCTCAAATAGTAGCTGCCTATGAGAAACTTTCCGAAGAAAAGCAGACTAAGGTAGGTCTTAGGGTTTTTCCCTGAAAACATTAAAAACCTCAGAGTCTAGGGCTGGGCAGCTCCATCAGGGACCGGGATGGTTAAGGTCACCCAGTGACTGCCTGTTCTGTGAGTGATTACACCCACTCTCAGCAGGTAGCAAAGGGTGCACGCTTTCAGCACGTGGGGCACGGGCAGATGGAGGGAGAGCTTGCTGCCTCAGGGTCAGGCATGACCTCAGAGACTGGGGTGGTTGAGGACGTGGGATGGGTTGCATAGAGGTCCCTGTGTTGGGGAGGTAGGCATCTCCCAGCTTTCCCTTCCCACTGGCTCTGCTGTGACCAGATATCCCCACCTCCATGACATTTGTTCACCTCTTGAGTAAACTATCCAGCTCTTGATTTCTAGAAGTATCCAGGTTGGTGTTCTGTGCCCTGTGCACCAGAGTAGCTCTCTTCCTGCTAATAGGTTTTTCTCAGTCCAGTCCAGTTCGCCCTCCTCAGCTCCTGCATGGCCTTTTTGATGGGCTCGGTCCATCTCTTCCTTGCTGTTAGGTTGTGAGTTTCTTAAAGACCACATATACAGCATAAGCTGTTCAATTTCTATTGTGGCCATTATTGTTAAATGCCATCAAGTTGGTTCCAACTCCCGGTGATTCTGTGTAGGGTTTCCCAAGGAGCCAAACTTGGTTGAGTACTAGGCCTGCGGCACCATCCAGGACTCGGCTGTGGCTCTACGTGTGTGGGGAACAGCTGCTCTGACCCTCTGACCGCTTAGAGCAGAAGCTGTCTCGACATCCCCCCTAACCAGTCCTCTCTCTTGGGGCTGGGCTGGGAATCCGTTTGCAGAAAGAAGGCGCGTTTCCTATAACCCAGAACCAGGCGCTCCAGCTCTTGTTTGACCTTCGCTACCTCAGTGTCGTTCTGACCTCCAAGAGTGAGGAGGGCAAAAGTGGCCGCAGCCGACATGACTCCAGGTAGGGTCCCTCCCTCTGCCTGCCTCCAGAACCTTTCTCATTGCACGTGAATCCTGTTTGTCCCAACTAGGGGCCGCAAGCCTCAGTCACAGCCCTTACAAAATAGCAAACTTAAAAATTAGCTTGTTTTATTTGATCAAACGTTTAATTAGCTCACCCCTAATGTGATGGCTGGACTTTGGGGTGTAGCTGTAAAATCAGCACTGGATTGCAAACCACAAGGTCGGAAGTTCAAACCCACCAGCTGCTGCTTGGAAAGCCTACACAGGGTTGCTGTGAGTCAGAATAACTCAACACCAGTTAACAGGATGACTGGAACTACGGTTGCCTTGGCAGGGTGCACATATCTCCCTGTTTTAAACCCTAAAAGCTGTTACCAGCATCTTAAACACCTGCTGGAGAAATCCCAGGTCAGGTGGAGGAGGTGGAGACTCTTTATCTCTTCTCAGTCAGTCTAGCAACTATTGGCTAGCATTTGGGCCCTCAGTCCCCTTCCTCAAAGCAGAACATGGGAAAGGAGTAGTCTTTACGTAGCCGGAAGGTGTCTGCCTCACAAGTGTCTGCCTTTGACAGGGTGCAACTTAACAAACTCTGCTCCCTAGCTCCATTGGAAAAGTATGTGTTCTTTCTCTGGGTGGTTCCGGCTCTCACAGGTTTCACTGTCCGGCTGAGTGAGCCCTGGGCAGCATCACTTAAAGCACAAGTGGTACCAAGCTGGGTTTAATTCTGACAAAAGTGTGGAAACTAAGCCACTCGTCTTTTCAGAACCGAGAAGGTGGTCGACTACTTGGAGGCATTTGTGGATCCCTTTGACCTGGATGTCTTCACACCACACCTCAACAGCAATCTCAACCGCCTGGTCCAGCGAACGTCTGTAAGTGACATCAGGGTGAGCCTGTTGCAGTGCTGGCCGGCGAGGCCCCAACAGCTGACTTCTAAGGGCTGAAGGCGGGATTTGATCAAAGCTCCCACGTTCAGGCACCCATATCTGGCCCCGAAGGCTGTAGGGTAGGTTAGGGTTACCCAGGCCTCAGAACACTGTCAAACAGCTGCCCCTGAGGTTCTATCCGTGACAGCGAGAAACTCATTTTGGAGTATTCGCATTCTCCAAAGAACATTCTCCCAAACACTGGATAGAACCAAAACCGTGACTGTTTAGTAACAGATGTTACTTTGCCTCTCACCAGAGTGAAGGCAGCATTTTTTTGTGCTCCTTTTCTCATCTGCCAGGTTCTGTTTGGACTGATTACTGGTACAGAGAACCATTTCACTCCAAGGAGCAGTACATTCAACTCCCAAGAACCCCACAATATCCTGCCCTTGGCTGCCAGTCCCATCAGGTAATGGTCTAAGAGGCTTTGGCTGGGCCCCAACACTTCCTGTTCACACCGCTGAAATGCCTCCATCTTGTCTTGGAGGTTTGGACTACTTCCGCTGAGCATGACGAGCACGCGCAAGGCCAGGTTAACCAGCAGAACCACTGCACCCAAAGCCCTGGTGAGTGCAAAGAACAGAGGTTCCTGCCCATCCAAGCCGCCCTGCCCCTTTAAATAAGCGATAAAAGAACTGAGGGACAAAATGCACTAATGCTGCTTTTAATGGTGGCGCGAAAGAGAATTACAAGGTCTTCCTAGGTGGAGCTATGAGAAGTTTCAGGGGTGCTCACTGGCACTACCAAGGTAGCCTCAGGCTGCCACGAGACTGCACAGGCCCTTAGACACGGGCAAAGGGGACCTCTTCCTCTGAGAGGGGAAGTGAGTAACTGGCCAATCTAGTGCTGAGCCAGCGTATTGGGGAGGGAGGCAGTTTTATATGGGGCCAAAGAAATGGTCAAGCCCCACCCATCACTTTCCGTTGGGTGGGAAATAAAGGCAGTTTGCTCTCGTCTTCAGTTGCACGTGGTGGTGGTAACACACATTTTGTTTCGGTAGGATGGCACCCTTTAAGCCTGCAGGAGCCCTCTGGTATTTCTGGATTGTGTGTGTACCCGTGTTTGAAACCTCAAACGCTTGCTCTTTACAGCACTTGGTGGTTGTTGGCTTTACTGTTTATAAGCAAAAGTATCAGCAATATAACCTTTCCCAGTTCCCTGCCACCAATCTTATTAAGATCCAAAATTGTCACCCACCATCTGGGTTTAAAATTTGAGAGATGGAAGAAGAAAGAGTTCTTGCAGACAGGCCCCTCCACCTGTGTGAGGTCTGTACTGTTCCTTGTTCCCTAACGCCTAAGTAACTGGCCTCCACGTTCTCTCACATCATGGACTTTTCCTAAGACAGTCCTCATTGTCCAGTGTCGTCCTCCTCCCTCCGTGGTATTCAAATCCTGCCAAGCAGCCCAAGTCCGACTCGAGCGACCCGCGGTGTGTGTGCTGTGTGGGCTTGCACGTAGCGCAGACTAGAGGGTGTGAGCCAGCACGAGGCTCCGGTGGTTCTCTAAGGCACTTTCCTCTGTTTCCAACGGCAGGCCGCACTTCCGGCTCTCACTAGGGCAGAAGACCCAATGCATCCTGGTGCTGTGTTCAGACAACTGGTCAGTGAGGAGGAAGACACGTCCTCGTCATCATTATTCAAACTCGGATGGCTCGCCAGTATGACCAAGTAGCTTGGAAACAGCTCCCTCTCCTCAATAAACACTACTGTTTCTTCTATGGGTGCTCTCTGCTCATTTCTTAACCAAGCCACACCAGCCTTTCTGATTTCCAGGGTGGAATGAGACCCCTTAGGGACGGTGCCAGGTGACTCCTTTCCCAGTGGCTTCAGTGTCTTCATTCCTAATGCAATGGGCCCAACTACCCACGAGACCCCAGGAGCTCCCCAAGTAACAAGTCTGACAGCGCACAGTTCTCCAGTCTGAAGTGCAGCCTCCGGAGGCGGCAGGATCCTCGAGCTATCTAGGGACACAGGAGTCGGGCACGAAGACCTGCACAGAGGGAAGGTGCGTCCCTTCCGTGGTCTCAACTGGATCTGCGTGCTCTCCTGCTGGAAAGGAGAAAAGACTTGGAACAGGACAATTACACACTAGGAGGTAGAACAGCAGTTCATTTCAGTGCCAGACAGAACCAAGCTTACCGGAGTGGGGAGAAACGTACGTTGTCTTCATGGAAACTAGATACTCTTTACTAGTTTATTGAATAAAAAACATGGAAGGTCCCGCATTTTAAAAGGCTGTTTTACACAAAGAGCTTCTAATGGCTAGATCTGGGAGTGAGCCGGAATGGGACACACTATGGGTTCAACACGCAGATAGCATTTCTTCAGACCCTTACCTTGACGTGGAATTCATACCCACCCTCAAAGAATCCTATAAAAAATTGCTTCAAAGCCCCTTTGAAATTGCAATAGTGCAGCAAAACCACAAGTAAACAACAGCCTGTTGACCTGCTCTTTCAAATATAGACTGAAAAGCCAACAGGCATTCCTATTTTTTTTTTTTTTTTTTTTTTTGTGCAATTCTTGGAAACTGATGGGAAGCTGAAACACGTGCTCCGCCCAGTGCTGTCCCTTCACAGAAGGCAGGAGGCTGCCGGGGCCTCAGGTCGGGGGCCGGCCGCGGTGCTGGAGGCTGTGGAAGTGGGCCTCCCGCAGCGTCTGGTTGATGTGGAAGTAAAGGCCCTGGCAGAGGGCAGACTGCTCGGGGGCAGGCTGGGGGGTGTGCGGACTGGAGCCGGCCATGATCGGGTTCAAGCTGCTCTCGGTTCCACTTGCTCGGTCGGGGCTGTTGATGCTGCTACCTCCGCTGCTGCTACCTCCGCTCTCACTGCTGGAAGACTGGAAGGAGAGAGGGAAACGGGTCACTGCAGGGCCCTCGGCTTCCTGGATGGTAGATGGGCAACCACAGCACAACACTGTGTCCTAGACAGGCTGTGGGATCGCTGCAGGAAAACATGCAGAGTAGGCGTTACACCTTCACCTGTGAGTTCTACCTTAGCCTCACAGCACTCCAACCCCCAGGAAGCTACCCCCTAGGCTGCACTCAGACACAGAGAGAGGCCTTCTGACTCCAAACCCCTGCAACAACATGTCTCTCTGAGGCGAACACTCATTCCTCCTCCAAAGGACAGAATCCATCTCACTGCAGGGTGCAGAAAAGGTGTGCCCACAACAGCAGCACAGGTTTCTAGGCGCGAGTTACCAAAGAGCCTGCCTGTGACCATTTTGGGATTATCACCTCTTCAGGGACACAAAATGGCATTCCATCAGCAGAATACATGACCCTTGAGATTTTTCATACATGTTTGATAGCGTCACCTTCGGAGCCTCTGAAAGCTCATGTGTGTACCTACGTGTCTGGTTTTGGCTCTTTTTTGTGTCTTGATGATCTTGAGGTGGACTCAGTGATCCCTGATCCTCCCAGGGCAGTGATGGGGAGGACTCATTCAGTAGTGATCCCTTTACAATGTTACCAGTACCTTCCTAAGAAACACCGCCCCCAGGAACTTGCCTAGCTAGACCCATCTCTACTGACATCTCAAATAGTCCTCAGCCATGTGATTACAGATAGTAGTGTATTACCCGAGGCGGCACTGGAAGGCAAACTGTACAACACACAAACTGTAAGGCCCGTGGTTCAAATCCACCCGATGCTCCTCAGAAACCCACTCATCATCACTTAACAACAACACAACCTGCTTGAGGCCTGGCTATGTTGTTTTTAAATTCTAAAAATAAGTATATAAAGGAAACACGTACAAATTGCTACAATTTGATGAACTTGACCTATACTTATGGATGTAGTAGCTCAAAATACCAACTGAGAGGGAAGGAGTCTTCATATCAAGTATCAATGCTATCCTCTCTGTATACAGAGTAGATCTGTTGTTGTTAAGTGCCATCGAGTTGATTCCGACCCATAGCGACTCTGTCCAGGGTTTCCGAAGAGCAGCTGGTGAGCTTGAACCTCCGACCTTGCAGTTCAAACGGCTTTGTAGTCTGGTACGTTAACCCACAGCACCACACCAGGGTAGATAGGAACGGGCAATTTAGACATTGGCTACCTAAAACGAAGGGGTGATAAAGGCACGAAATGACTGGCTTACAACTCTTCAAGAAGTTTAGTTCAGAGTGTGGGGGGGAAAGGTAGAATCCCCACTGAAAAGATTGCATCTTGTCTAGAAAGATCTGGTGAAAAGAGATGGGGATAAGATTCTTGGGATTCAATAGTGAGTCACTGTTATCATGACTAATTGCAACTGTCACAACTGTAAACGTAGAAGTTTTATAACAAAAAGGGGGGAGTAGTTAATCTTACAGTCCAGAAACAGAGGACCCTAGGACCATCAAGGGAGAAGAGCATGAGCGGAATGTGGGACCCTATCCAGAGAAGCAGCAACACCAAAGATGGAGACAGAAATGAGGACATGGAGAGAGAGAGTAACTGAGGACTCTAGACTCATGGGAAGAGAAAGGCTGTGTGCTGGTGGCCAGGAGGCAGGCTTGCAGATTGTGCCCTTTGGTTGTTTAAATGATTGTATATTCCTGAGTGTTTTGTTTTGGTATACATTCCTACCCTTCCCCCCGCAAAAAAAAACCCCCCAAAATAACAGAGGGAATGGAAGCAAATACTGTTCAGTGATGATGCATGGAGATTGTAATCATTGCAATGAAATGATGAGTATAAAACTGAAATTTTCCCATGTAAATTATCACTCGAGTCACAATAAAAACTTAATAAATATCATATCAATGTTTCCAGTTATACACAAGGAGACTTCAAAAAGCTCATGGAAAAATTCCATCATCTTTTCATTCCATTTATCCATAATTTATAAAAGTGATTTTTGAAATCTTCACTTGACCTTTTTTTTTTTTTGTCCAAAAGCTACATTTAGCATCATGAACAAATGTGACTCTTACAACATTAGGGAAAACTAGGCTCACAAAAGGCATCATTAATAGGACTCAGAACAAATATCATCCTGGTCCAAAGACTGGTTTACTTGGGACCACTTCACATACGTAGATCACCTACCTCACTCCCTAGAGGTACTGAGGGGACAACCTGTCTTTATCTTCCAACAATTAACAAGAAAACATTTCACAAAAGGAGTATCATGGGCCAAACGAAGCTTGATGACACAGTTAACAACAAGTAAAATTACTTAAAAGATTTAAAAAGTCAAGGTCAGATCTGGAAACGAACTCACCCCCACGGTTCAATTTTCAGCTAAGTGATGGACAGGTTTATAAAGCGCACTGGAGTCATGTCCTGGTGACACGCTCCATGTAGGATCAGCACTGGACTGCAAGGTCGGCGGCTTGCTATCAGTTGGCACTGACTGGACAGTACTTCACAACAACAACAAGGGAAGCAACACTAGGGAGGTGCAAGTCCCTTAGAAATCATCAACCATTTGAGATCAAAAGGGCAGGAATTACCCAAGGACAAAGTTCAGAAGGGTTAGGAAAACAGTAGGAATGCAAATGGAGAACTCAAGGGAGGAAGTGGGATGAATGATGAGTGATATTCCTAGGTGGGGACTGCTGCTATCCAGGAGCTGAAACAAAATGTGTATGCATCGTTCAATGGAAAACTGATCTGCTCTGTTAACTTCTATGCAATTCACAATAAAAAGCCAAAATAAAATAGGCCAAACGAAAACGAATTTGTTTTTCCATACAAGCCTCTCCTAACCTAGACCTCGAGAACCCAGGCCTGGCCCTGGCATACCAGCTCATGCGTATTTAATCAAAAGGTTACTACTACACTTGGCAAGAAACCCACACAGCACAGCTCTTTGTTTCCCCGTAATCTGTTCCCTTTACCTGTAACAAGAGGTACAGGTACTGTCTGAAAGTTGAGGTGAGCACTAGAATCAGTCTCTACTAAGCCAAGTTTTCATCTCAAATTAAATCTACGTACTCAAAAATGATGAGGTAGGTGACTATCCCACAAAAAGGTTAGCAGTTCTTTAAACAAGCTATAAGATTTCTGCATAAAAATTACTTCAACAAAGGCAAATGCACCAATCATTTCTAGTTCATTTAAAATATCTTGGAGCTAAACTGCACAGAGAGACAGGTACAAGAACGGTTGCTTTGTTGTTGTTAGGTGCCTTCGAGTCGATTCTGACTCATAGCAACCTCAGGCACAACAGAATGAAACACTTCCGGGTCCTGAACCGTACTCACAATTGTCGTCAAGGCTTGAGTCCATTGTGCTGGTGATCCATCTCCAGGGGGTCTTCCTCTTTTTTTGCTGACCCTTCACTTTACCAAGCATGATGTCCTTCAGGGACTGGTCCCTCCTGATAATAGGCCTGAAGTATGAGAGACCAAGTCTGGTCACCCTGGCTTCTAAGGACCATTCTGGCTGTACTTCTTCCAACAGATTTGCTTTTGTTCTTCTGGCAGTCCCTGGCACTTTCAGTATTCTAAACATCCTAAGTCAAATATATCAATTCTGCTTTGGCCCTCATTATTCATTAGCCCACTTGCACATGCATATGAACCTATTGAAAATACCCTGACTTGGGTCAGGCACACCTTAGTCCTCAAACTGACATCTTTGCTCTCTAACATTTTAAAGAGGTCTTGTACACCAGATTTGCCTAATGCAATATGTCTTTGACAACTTCAATCTTTTCTCCATTTACCACGATGTCAAGTGGCCAGGATTTTTGTTTTCTTTATACTGAAGTGCAACCCATATTGAAGGCTGTGGTCTTTGATCTTCATTATGAAGTATTTCAAGTTCTCTTCGCTTTCAGCAAGCAAGGTTGTATCATCTGCATATTGCAGGTGGTTAATGAGTCTTCCTCCAATCCTTTTTTTATAGCCTGGTTTATAATAGCTAAACATTAGAGACCTACTGTCTCACAGTAGGGACTGATGATATTATAATACATCCATTCTTACCATGAGGTTCTATTCAGCAGTTCACAATGAAAGAAATGGGTATGTGCTAAAATAGTCCTGGACATCTTTTGAAAAGGTTACAAAATTGTCAGTGTGTGTGTTCAGCTATTTTACAAAATATTTTTCTTTAATGTACCACGTGTATCTGGTCTGAACTAGATGGTGGCCAGTTACCACTAGCAACTGCTCCGAAAGGGGTCCCATTAGGGAGTCCTAGATGGCGGCCTGGTGTGGCACTGCCGGTTAATGCACTCGTCTGCAAGTTTGGTGGTTCAAGCTCACCAATCGCTCCTCGGAAACCTTAATACAGGGTCGCTATGGGTCGGAACCGACTCGACAACACTTAACACGAACAGAGCAGCAGGATGTGTGAAACAAAACTCAAATTATTTTTTATAAAAAGCCTGGTCTACTGGTCAGAAAGATACTGGAGAGACCTACGACTATGGCCCCAGACCACCCTTCAGGTCTGGAAAGGAACACACCCTCGGGATACAACTGTCAGCCAAGCAGTAGGTAGGTTTCTATAGGGATACAACGACACCACTACATTCAAATCAAAGGGGCAACAAGTACCTAAGGACCAAGGTGAGAAGGGCTGGGAAGGAGGGTGGAAGGAAGTAGGGACCCCAGGGAGGAAGTAGGATCACTGTTGTTGCAGGGAGGGGATTGGAATCAGTGAGATGAAACAAAGCGTATCATTGTTGAAGGTAAAACTGATGATCTTGTCTGAAAACCTTCACTCAATTCACAATAGAAAAAAAAAATAATAATAAAGTAGTCTGAAGGAATATATATACACAAGAAAATGCTAAGATTTGGGATCTTAGATATTTAAAAAAAAATTTTTTTTAAACATTATTTTCTAAAACTTCTTTCAGGAAACAAATTAAATTTCTTTTGAGAAAAACTAC